GCTGGGGAACATGGCCGTTTCTGTGAGGGTTAGAGTTAGGATGCTGGGGAGTATGGATGTTTCTGTGAGGGTTAGAGTTAGGATGCTGGGGAGTATGGATGTTTCTGTGACAAGTTATCTGGCTAAGCAAGAAATCATTTTAGTGTTATAGGCCCCTGGTACAGCCTTACACTACAAGTGCACATGTGAGTCAGGCAAGTAGCCAGGTAATAAAATTACGGGTTTGGAATCCCACCCAGCTGGCCCCCCACCTCATGGAATTTATTTCTGGCTAAGTAGCTATAAAACCTACATTCTCCAAAATGGCCACCAGATGGCAGTGCATTATACATTCCCAAAATTCCCAAGTTAAGATTTCCATGGAAACTTTCCGGAAATTTACCTGAAAATTTCCACCTCTTTGCAAGCTTAATCACCAGTACGCCTAACCATGTTTTTTCATACATATCAAGCTGACTTGACTGCTTTAGTCTTTACATAGCATTTAGGCCCAGCTCATTATGGGCCAGCTGTTAGTCAGTGCAGTGAGTTTGAAGAAGCTGAGAGTGATGGACTGGGGCCAAGAGGCCATGGATTATTTGGGCTACTGATAGATCAGGTTTCCATTTCCTGGAGGGACTATGAGTGAAAAACAACATGTTTACCAGGGTTATCTTTAGCTTTCCATGAATGAATGGTCAGGGCTCTCTTCATCAGACTGACCTTGGTGTTGCGGTCCTATCCGTTTAGAGTGGAAGGACATACTGTCCTCTGGGACTCTTGTGTAAACATACACATTCTTCATGGGAAAGCCAGTCACTATGAGAATATGACCCCTATCCTACCATTGGGCAGTGATTCCCACTCTCTTCTGAGGCAATCCTGTTACCAAGGAACAAGGGCAGTTATCCAAAATAAACAGCACTTTGTCTTAATAGGCAATCCCCACTGCCCTGCTATACCTTCAGGCACTATTAGGCCAGATATGTTCATTCAGCATGACAGGATACAGTTGCTCAGAATAAATGTGTACTGTGACTTTGAGTATAAGTGGCCGTACTCACATTATAAACATAAAGACCACACAGAACCAAACAGAGAGCTGAGAACCACTGAAGGTCCCACACATGTTCATCGGCCTGGACATCCAAGCACACAGTGTTTATGGTGTCAAAGATGATGGGTGACCCACAGAAATACATATGAAGGGATCTACAGTGCTGGAAAACTCCAACAGAGCAGGACAGCACAGGCTCTGCAGGTAACACAGGCCTTTCAGACTGGTACCAGCTCCCTGTTTCTGCAGGTAACACAGGCCTTTCAGACTGGTACCAGCTCCCTGTTTCTGCAGGTAACACAGGCCTTTCAGACTGGTACCAGCTCCCTGTTTCTGCTACCACTTATCCAGCACTGACATTTTTCACTTTCCCACAAAACATGGCTGAGAAAATGAGATTAAATGCAAAAAGGTCATTTTTAAATGCCAGCTTGCAGGAGTTTTAACAGGATGAATATGACCTGAGAAGTAGCCATACAAACATCCAATCTAGAACTGACCAATGGCAGGAAAACCAGATGTTAGGCCAACCCTGACCCTTTTCATTAGTCAATGAAGAAGCTTTACCTGAAGGCGTGTTTGATGCCCATGTCAGTCCCGACAAAAGTGCGAGAACAAAGAAAAATGACGGATGGGTAATGACAACCATGACAGCAACTCTGTGGGGACAAAATTAGAGAATTTATCCATACTGCCTGTGTGTGGTGTGTGTGTGTGTGTGTGTGTGTGAGAGAGAGAGAGAGAGAGAGAGAGAGAGGCCTGTGTGAGGGAGGAGTAGTAGTGAAACACGTGTGTGTGGGAGTAGTGGCAGTGAAACAGTTGTTTGTGTGGGAGGAAAAGCAGTGAGACAGATGTGTGTAGGAGGAGTAGCAGTGAGAGGTGTGTGTGAGTGTGGAAGGGAGGAGTAGCAGTGAGACTGGTGTCTGTGGAAGGAGTAGCAGTGAGACTGGTGTCTGTGGAAGGAGTAGCAGTGAGACTGGTGTGTGTGGAAGGAGTAGCAGTGAGACTGGTGTGTGTGGGAGGAGTAGCAGTGAGACTGGTGTGTGTGGGAGGAGTAGCAGTGAGACTGGTGTGTGTGGGAGGAGTAACAGTGAGACTGGTGTGTGTGGAAGGAGTAGCAGTCAGACTGGTGTGTGTTGGAGGAGTAGCAGTCAGACTGGTGTGTGTGGAAGGAGTAGCAGTGAGACTGGTGTGTGTGGAAGGAGTAGCAGTCAGACTGGTGTGTGTAGGAGGAGTAGCAGTGAGAGGTGTGTGTGAGTGTGGAAGGGAGGAGTGGCAGTAAGACGTGTAGGGGAAGTAGCAGTGAGACTGGTGTGTGTGGGAGGAGTAACAGTGAAATAGGTGTGTGTGTGTGTGTGTGTGTGAGTAGCTCAACATCACCTGTTGGTATTCCCAACTATGGACCGTGTGTAGGAAAAGTTTCAAACGTGATATTTACAGAGTTAAATCTGTAACAAAATTTTAGAACTACACAGCATGTACTACTCGGTACCACGCAAAGTAAACCACAAACTATATGACCTATAGTTTACATTAGCTGTACTTCGTCTCAATCGACAAGTGGAAATTTAATATAATACTATTACTGCATACGTAATAACACCAAGTCAGGGTTACCACCTTTGGTCAGGTGCCTTAAAATTGCGTGACATTTTTAATTCGAGACAAGTCTGCATACGCATTTTAAGAGTTTTATTACTTTGTAAATTGCCTGTAGGGTTTGCAAACTACCCCAACGCTTTTGATGCGGCTGATTTTAGGTTTATAATTGAATATAGATTTGCCGTAAGATTTATTGCGTGAGTCTGACAGCGTGTCACGCCAAATGCGTGAGAGTTGGAAATCCTGCTAAGCAGCCTAAAGTTGTAGGACAGCAAAAGGTTTCCTCAGAACAATAATGATTATATTTAAAAAGCGCAACTGTTTGCCGCTTTGACTTGGTACGTAAGTACACTCACCTTACTTCAGAGCTCCTGGGTGACCAATGCTCATCCAAGATGTCTCATTGTTGTCCTCGGATGGTGGCACAAATACATAATTTCATCCGTATTTAAAGCTGGTGTATGGGAGGTAAACACGACAAAGCCCCTATACGCTTTTTAGGCTGCCCGCTCCTGTACTGAGCGCGTGTGAGTGTCCATGCGGTCTGGCTGCGAATGGAGAGCAGCGCCCCCAGCGGTGGGTAAACCTGACAGTCTCCCGGTGGAGGGGGGGGGCCTGAAACCTGCTGACGGTGAAAATCTTAAACGTATTTTATTCTGCACCGGAACATGTACAAAACGCAGTAAGGCGCGCATGTCGGTCCACCTAGTCACCTTTTCTGCACGGTAGACGGTGCAGCACGGACGGACTCGCCAGGCGTGTTACTCAACATCACGGACTGATTTTACTAAACGGTGGCCGCTACCGCTAAATCAGCCCGCTTCGGATAAAAGCACAAGACTTTCCTTTTAAAATCAACATTTATTTTCAATGATGACATAAAAAAACTTAAATACATAGTAAAAATAATACCACTAACACAGATCATTTGTGTAAATGTCGCTATCAAAAGTGAAATCTGTGAACTGCCTGTCCGGGCGCGGACAGCGTCAGGAACTGGACAATCAAACCTCCGGCATTACATACGTTTCCTCCAAACTTTATCCATCCCCTCCCTTTCAATATATAAATGCAAATAATTTAGAAATATCTTTTTAAATAAATTGTAAAAAAAAAAAAATGAAACACAAATAGCATAAAATAAATAGAAGCAGCTGGTGAGGAACATTCTGAACTCCCAGCTGGACTATTAGTGAGCTATTGTTTAAGTGAAGCCCCCGGGCCCTCGTGCTCTGCCCAGTCCCTGGGGGTGTTTGACTGGGGGTCTCGAGCTCAGTCCCTGGGGGGGGGGGGGGGGGGGGGGGTTGCAGTATGTGCAGGTTCTCCAGCTCATTATACAACTGTCTCGCTGCAGAGGCAGAAGGCTGCGTTTGTTGGGTTAGGTTATGCATTAATGTAAGCAGCCAGGCAGCGCAGCTGCGAGCAGGGCGCTCCCTCACTGCAGGGCGCTCCCTCACTGCAGGGCGCCCCCTCACTGCAGCACACTGAGGATCTCCTTGGCATTGTCAGTGCTCCAGCCCTGGCCCTGCAGAGGACCCTCGCACACCAGCACGTACTTATGCAGCACCTGTGTACCGACATCCCGAAAGTGGATGCGCTCCTCCCGGCGCTCGGGGGGGGCCTCTGGGTCCATGTCCTCATACTTCACGGCCCAGAAGCATAGCTCTCCAACGTACATCATAGCCAGCAGGTGGGTGTCTGAGAAGATGCCTGTTCAGAAAACAGGGACAACAGCATACATAAATTCATACAAGTGTGTGAAATGTAAACTTTCACTGAATATCTCTATACCTCCTCTATGAACAGTAAGAACAGTTTCTAAACAAACTGAACCATTTACACCTTTTTAAACTCCTCCCTTGGGATTTACCTCCCCCGTGTCTTGCGCTCTCATTGCCAGTCACACTACAGAATTCGGAGTCACCGACAAGTCCAGATATTTAGTCCACTGGATGCCTTACGGGTGTCTGCGACGCATCAGCAACTCTGTCCAGGTCTCTTTTAACTAATAGCAATCAAGGACCGATCTGTCAGTTCTAAGTGAACACCGATTCGCCTCTGACCTCGGGCTTTTGTTGCAGATTGCCAAAAACTTTCAGCAAGCTGGAAATCAGGGCTAAAATCATGTAGTGTAAATTTAGAACGAGTTATTTTTTCAGCCCAGTCAGAAATTCCGGGCCAAAGCACACACACTGATGATGTTGTCTAAAATGAGTGTGCATGCTGGACACGTTTCCAGCAAAGCCGACAGTCTCAGTCTTATCTTCTAGCCCCTCTCTCTCTAGCGTTGGTGTAATTTATTGCGAAACCAAAATGTTCCCAAACTACTGATTTAAGTGATGTAGGAGGGTCTTTGAGCTCTCTAGCACTATCCATAACCAGCTCAAAGACACAATTAGCATAATGTTTTCCATGTTGTACGCCTATTTCTGAATTTAAGTTTCACCCATGTCAAGAAATGTATCAATTCGCCTTCAATCGAGCCTTCCAAACTGAAAACACTGTAACCAAAAGGCACACAGCGAATACAGGTACCATTATTGCCCTTGTCTTTACTTTAAATATAGGTTGGGAATGCTCATCAGCAAAATCTGTTTAAAAATTGCAATGCATATCAAGTCAGCGAACAGATATAGATAAATCACAGATTGGGGCGGTCACTACCGATTTGATATATAAAATAAAAAAAATATGTACAATAATAAAGAATACAAAATCATTAAAATGGCTGGAAGCAATGTTTTGTCCTAATTCAGTGCACACAGGTTCGGTGATGCAGACCCTGCTGACAGGGCCATACGGTGCCCCCTATGGGTGGCTTTAGTATGGCAGGCTCACCTTCACTGAGGAAGCTGGCAGTCGTAGAGTCATGAAACACGACACCATCGCTGAGCTTCACAGAGTTCCTCACCTGCAGCATCCGCATCAGGTAGCGCACCCCCTCCTGCAGATACTGAGGGGACATGCACACAGTATGTCACAAGTTTTCTGACTACACACTGCAAGGCATTTCAACGCCAGCTGTCCTGCAGACCTTGAGGAACGTTGTTTTGTTCTTCTTGATCCACTGCTTCCTCTGGTGGAGGGTGTGGCAGTACATGTAGAGCAGCGCCCCACGGCGCCAATACAGACACTCGAGCAGCTCCACACCCAGGACTGTCTGGACCTGTAGCACCGACAGGGATCGAACGCGATTGGGGGGTCAGAGAGCAGCCGCCACTGCTTGGGAGATGAGCTCCTTCCGTATTTTATCCCTTTTTCACAAAAATACTGTCAATATCACAAATGCACTCTAACAGTTCTACAGTTCAGCTTCTGGGACATGAGTGCAGTGTGGTGAACTGCCAGCCCACCCCCCAAAGTGCCCCCATGGTGCAGTGTGGTGAACTGCCAGCCCACCCCCCAAAGTGCCCCCATGGTGCAGTGTGGTGAACTGCCAGCCCACCC